AGATATGAAACATAGTTACAAAGAAAGAAAATAAACAGAAGAAGAGTAATTAAGAAAGATAAAAGAAGTTGTAAAATATAAGAAATAAAGTTATAAAAAGAAATAACAGAGAAGAAGAATATGAGAATACAATAAATAAACCAAAACAGATAAAAAGAAAGTATAATTTAGAAAAACAACAAGAAGAATAGAATATAAATAATGAACAGTTGACAAATGAAGATATTTTAACAAATATACAAAACTAGATGATATTTTGAATAAATGTATTAAATTGAGAATGAATAATAAGAATAATAAAAGAATAGATAAACAACAATTAAATACAAAAAGAATGTTAAATAAGAGAAATAAAAATAAAGAAATTAGAAACAATGATAAATCAATAAAATAAAATGATTAAATTTAAAATTCAAATTAACACAATAGAAATGAATGTTATAAAAGAAATAAAACAATTATAAAATAAAATAGAAATAAAAGAATGATGAAAAGAAAGAAGTAATTTATGATATAAGATGAAGAAAAGAATGAATAAATAAAACAAAAATACATCCAATAATAATTAATATCAAATAGAATATAATTCAAATTAAAATATTAATATAATTAAATTAAAATAATGATAATATAATGAAATTCATAATTCAATCATTTTATTTAATTTTATCAGTATTTATTTTAATAAGAAATTAATAATAAATGTTAATAACCAACATTCATTTATGATATCTGAATGAACTAATTAATTATCATATTTCATAGATATTGAATTGATATGACAACATACTAACATGAATTATCAATAGTTTTAATTAAATAATTGTATGATTTTTTATTGTAAATATAAAATATGAATATTTGGTAATGAATATAATTAAACATTTCATAGAATGTTTAATTATATTATCATTATGTTTTTCATAACTTAAAATAATTAAAAAGTTAGTATTCTTCAATACTTGTTATTTTGTTAATTATTTTATCACTTCTTTCAACAACAACCAATTTATCGAAATAATGTATCAATCATCAACAATGATTTTATGTTAATTGTATTAAAATAGTGAATATGTTTATTTTTAAATTGAAATGATCACATAATGATAATAGAATGAAAATGGGTATTAAATACTAAAATGATAAAAGAGAATAAAAAGATGAATGAATTGAAATTGTAATAAAATTGTATTATTTAATGATAATATTTCATGAAATAATGTAAATAAATGATAGGATAAATGACTGTTTAAAGAATAAATAAGAAAGATATATTCATTAAACATGAATATTTTAATTGTAATACTCATTACAATTTCATTATCACAACAATGCATTGAATACATTATAACTCAATCAAATATAAAGTTGATTTGAATGTATTGAATCAATTCATACTACAGAACAAGAAAATGATGATATTATTAATTATTAAAATAATATTTAGAAGCATATGTATTTAAAGATATATTAAGAATCAACCACAACCATCATTTTCAAATAATTATATGAAAAACTGGATATTGAGAACAACTAAATAAAATAAATACAGAAACAACAAGTATATATGATTTCTATTCTCAAATACAAAAACTTATTAATTCAACAAGAGATATTCACTTAAAATTTATTGTAATGAAAATCATTATAAACTAAATGCTGAATTAGTTTATTTCAATTATTTCATTCAATTTTCAATACCAATTGATAATAATAATAAGAAAATGTATTTATTTCCAAGAAACAGTGTTGGTGAGTTTCCAATTAATGAAGTAAAAGAAATAGTTGATAATCAGAATATACCAGTTAAAACAATAAATAGAGAAGATCCATTTAATATTATTCGTGAATTTAGAAAGAAATATATGGGAATAGAATGTTCATATGCACAATTTAAAGATAGTAAAACAAGAATTACATTTGGAACATTTGATAGTTTACCATTATCAAAAGAATATTTAAACACACCAATAACTATTAAATGGAAAAATGAAGAAAAAGTAACAGTTAATTATAAGATAATTAAATTAAACGAATCAGAGTGTTCAAGGAGGTATTGAAAGAAGTAATAGAAAGGGAATAAGAGATGGATTAAGAATAGAAGATTTAGAAGAAACAAAAGAAACAAGAACATTACAAAATGAAAATAATGAATATCAACATATTGTTCTTCTAAAGAAGAAGTATGTTGTTTAACAACAAAAAACAAAATAAACAATTAATTGTAAATAATTTTCATGTTGAAAATGACAATGAGAGAAATGACTTCAAGAAGAAATTAAATGAATGTGTTGATTTATTTGATTCAAATGAATATCCAAATCAATTAATATTCACAAAGAATGGAGGATATTCATCACAACTTTCATACATTGTTGAGAAAATGATATCACCATATGACGATACCAATTATATTAGATCAGTAAGAATATCAGATTTTACAGAAGATAGAATGAAAATAGATTATAGTAATGTGTGTACGACCAACAAATGTGAACTGAGAAAAATGTCTGTTAACAAAACTACTTGGAGAATGGTATTCAAATCTAAATATTATTAAATGTGGTGATATTGAACATAATGTTTCACAACAATTAACTTGGATTTGGAAAACAAAGAAATTAATGAGAAAAACAAGAAAACCAACAGAAATAGTAGTTTGTACAGGTTCGTATTGTTATTCTGATTGTTCGTTTGATACAAAATGATTAAAAGAATGATGAGGTGCTATTATTGTATTATTTGATGGTGATCCATATGTTAAAAATGAAGAAATTGAAATGGGATTATCGCCATCTTCTAACATCAGATATGAGCGTATGTATGAACCTCATGACACATTAAAAGAATATGGATATAATCTTTGAATAAGTTATATTGAATATATAGATTATCTATATAATGAAAGTATTCCTAGAGAATTTCTAACTGATATGATAGATGAAAGAGTGAATATTAATCAATTTGATAGAATAGAAAAGTGATTAAAAATTTGAAGAAGAAACAAAGAAGATAAGAAATATCAAACAAAATGTAATCGAAATAATAAAAGATTAGTTAAAATAGAAAATAAAATGTGATAAAGAAATTAATATAAAACATGAGGATATGAATGTGGAGATAAAGGAGAAAGGAGTACAAAATGTGTACTATCATATTATGAATCATGATATAAATTTAATTATAATAATAAATGTATTGAAGATGGTTGTTCAAATGGAATACTAAGAATAATAATAAACATAATCATGATTATTCTTAGAATAATCAGATTAATTCTTTAAATGAAGAAAGATTAATTTAATATTTAGTTTAATAAAATAAAACATAATAAACACAAATAAGAATGTAAAGAAATAATGAAGATAAATAAGAAAATCAAGAATGAACAAATAATAAAAATAAGAAGATAGTATTGTTTTAAGTTTAATTTAATACATAATATAAAAATGAATAATAAGATGAAAAGAATGATAAATACAATGAAATTAATTCATAATATTCATCAATATTCATTAGAAATAAGATTATTAAATAATAAAGAAATAGAAATAATACAACAATGAATAACAATAAGAAATTAAATAATTGAAGATAAAAAGAATAAATAAGATAAAGATAACAATGAAACATTATGATATTTCATAAAAATGATACATGAATAAATCTAAATATAATAATTAGAAATAATAAGATGACTTAATATTTAAATAAATTAGAAAGTAATGAAGAAATGAATACAATAATATAATATTAATAATTATGAGTTAATAATTTAAAATAAACAATGAAATAATATATTTTCAATAATAACCATCAACAAGAATAAAATGTGATAAATAAAAAGAAACGATAATACATTAATAAGTAATATATTAATAATCAAATGAATTAATGATATGTTAATAATGAGAGTTTTATATTCATAATATAAATAATGAAGAATGATCATAAATATAATGAATTGTATTTTTTTAAAGAATTCAATTAAAATGAATAATGTATTTTGTGTAATAAACAACAAGAAATGAATAAATACAATAAGAAATGAATAAAACACAAACAAATTTAAATTAAATACAAATGATGACAAATTAATGTAAATAAAATAATGTAAATATAAAATGAAATAAATGAATAAATAAAATAACAAATCAAATTTAATGAATAATAAAATTAATACAAATAAAGAATAAAATAAGATAATAGAACAACCAATAATCAATACAGTTCATCATTTATTAAATTACAGCAATACAGATATTTAGTGTAAATACAATTCTATAATTGACTTTGATATTACAAAAGAACTTATTAATTCTAAACATTATAAGAATTATTTTTATAAATATTTTTTAAAAGAAACGAAATAAAAAACAAAAAAGGGTTAAATTGTGTTTCAAAAAATTTCACAAAAAGAGAAAAACCAAAAAGAAAGACAAAAAAAGAAAATGAGATCAAAATTGTTTTAAAAAGCAATGACAGAAGCAAAAGAGGTGAATATCCAAATTATGAATGTGATAGATGCCCCTACAGAACAACAAAGTCTCAATGAAAATAACCAAATAACAGCAAATCACCATCCAGAGAATGTGATGCTTTTAGGAGAAAACCAAGTTGAAGAACACCAAATGGAACCACCACAACCAGATGAACAACGCCATTCAGAAGAACATCCACTAGAAGAACACCACGAAGAAGAAGATGATAAATTGGATTTATTAACTTCAGGATCTCTTTTTGATGATCCAAAAACAGCAGGATTTAGAAAGACAAGAAATTATCAAACAGAACAACAGTCAGTTTTTATTGCACTATTAAGTATGGTTTATACTATTGTGATTGATCACCCAAGAAAAAGAAGTAAAATTACATTACCATTCTTTAATGTAATTCGTATTTCTACTGAAAAAGAAGTTGTTGAAATTAAAGAAATTATGTCAACCAAATTACAACAACTTCATGATGAAGATATTGCCCATGGATGTAGTGAAAAAACAGCAACAAGAAGACAAGAAGTATATAGAGTGTCAGAACAACTTCATATTTTAATGAATTTATTAAGAGATGTTGGATTTGAAATTGAATCAAAAAAAACAACGGGAAATAAAGGAAATCAAAAAGAAACTGCTAGAAAAATTAAATATAACAATTTTACATTTGACAAAGAATTTATTGAAGAGAGAGGTAATTTAATTAATGAGTTATTAATAAAAAGACTTGAATCAATTCCAAAATCAAGTGATTTATCAATTGAATGTGGAGATTCAGAAATAGCAAATATATTGAAAATGGGAAGTCTTAAAAATTAATTTCATTTTTTTATTTTTATTTTTTGTTTTTATTCATCTCTAAAAAACCCTTTAATTTCTTATTTTTTTTTATGAAACCAACAAGTAGACTTGTTTATGAAGAAACAACCACAAGAGTCCGTGTAAATAAAACTCTTTATTCTAAATTAAATGCCCTCAGAAAACAGTTAGGTAATTTAACTCTTAACCAATTAATTGAACTTCTTTATCATGATTTCAATGAAAATATTTTACATCATCACGTCTGTACTCATCTTCAACATTTATGTTGCAGTGAAGATCACAAATGTGTTCCACAATGTAATTGTTATAAAACTGGAAGGTGTATAATTTCTTGTCCTTGTTATTGTACTTGTTATTATTTCACTGAGAGCATTGCAAATCTTTATCCATGTCAATGTTCTAAAGATCATTGTTGTTGTAATCATACTTCATGTATTCCTGGACACTGTGGATGTCATGAAGGTTGTTGGTGTTGGAAACATGCCAACCAATTAGAAAATGAAGGTTATAAAACAACTAAATACTCTGAAGAAGTAAAACATAAATTAACAACGATATATCAAAATGAGACTTCACAACTTTTTATTAAAAAATTATAAAAAATGAATAACAGAAAAACCAGTCAAAATCAAATTTCAATCTTTTCAAAAAATCCCAAAATAAATTTATTTAAACTATCTTAATTATTAATAAAAAATATGAATTTTATTTATGACTATTATTTTGGAAGTATGAAAATGTATATATTTCTTTTATATTAAATCATTTTTAATTTTAATGACTAGCTTATTATTATATAAGAAGAAATATTCTAATTGTTTAACTCTTTTAAATTAGTTTTATTGTAGTTTCTTCTGTCCTGTTTTTCTAGAAGTGTTATTATAATGTTTTTAAATGGTTTTATTTGTTTAAATAAGCCAATGAACAGTACCTAAAAAAATGAATTGACTAAGTATATTATTAATACCTTATTTATATACCTTTTAATATAAATTAAAATTTAATTAAAATTGAATAATCATACTGAATATCAAAATGACAAGTGAATAATGAATAAATAAAATAAAGTGAAAATAACATTTATCCAGTATTATTTATTTATTTTTCTTTACAAATTAAACAGAAATTGTTTCCAATAACAACTCAACAAATCTTAGATAACATCTTGTTATTATATTTTTTTAATGAGTAGCGTTCTGTTGTTTGTGTTTGAAAAACAGTAATTTATGAAACTTTTTTCATAAAATGAATTAACGGTATTTTTGTTTAAAAATATAAAGAATCCATCATACTTGAGAATCAATATAAAGATATTATATTAGAATAAAACACAATTTTAAAACGTTAATTTTCTAATATTAAATCATAACATAAGTAAGAATTTAATTTCAAAAATGAATAAAAATTTTAATTTCAATATATAATTATTCTTTATGAGAGAGAACAAAAATAAATAAACAAAAGAAATAAAAATCAATAAACTAATTTATAACTGTGTAAATAATAATTAAAGAAATAGTTTATAATAAAAAAATGACACAAAATTTATAAAAATATTAAGTTTATTATGATGGATAATATAAAAGATAATTCATTTAATCATAAATAATATTCTTAATAAAAAGTTTGTTCTTATGTTTTTGAAAATAATCCTTTTAAATGGGAACCAAAATAAGCAAAGAAATAATGTATCTAAATAAAAAAACACAAAAAAGAAAAGGGCAAAATATTTTGCATCAATAAAATAATAGTTTTTATTATTTTGTTCTTAAAAAAAAATAAAAATTAAAAAAGTAAATTAAATAATCATTCTATATTCATTTATATTTCTTTATATTTTATATCATTTTATGATAAATTGTTATGAATTATAAATGTTTCAGAAATGATATTTGATTCAATGTAAGTATACATTTTTATTATTATGTTATTAATGTTATTTATGTATTTTATTTTTATATATTTATATATTTTATTATTATATTTATTTCTATTATATATTATATATCATCATATTATCTTTATATTTTATATTTATCATATTTTATTAGTTTGATATTCTTATTATTTATATTTTCTTTAAATTCATATATTTCTATTTATATATATTTTCTTATATATTAATACATTTCTTTATCTTATTTTCATTTTGTTTATATTTTTATATTTTATATCTTCTTTCTTTTTATATTTATTATTATTTTATTTATATTATATTGATTTTATTTATCTTTTCTTTTATATATTTTATTTATTATTATATCATTTCTTTTCTCTTATTATTTCTTTATCATTTATTATTATTCATTTAATTTTTATATCTTCTATCTATATCATATGAAATTAATATTTAATACTTATTATATATTATATATTATATATAATCATATAACATTTATATTTGATTATATATTATATTTTTATTCTTTTCTCTTCTTTTTTATATTATTTCTTTTTTTTATTTGAATATATTTGTTTTTGTATTTTTGTTATTTATTTTATTTCTTATTTTTTGTGTTTATTTTATTCTTATTTATCATATTTATTATGTATATTATGTTATATTTGATTTTATTAATTATATTAATTAGTATTTTATTAATATAAATATTATGTTTATTATTTTATTATTTATTTATTTTTATTATTTATT